ATACATGACCACCGAAAAAAAAGGAGAGAAAACAACAATTCCCTACGTGACCATTATGGTGAATTGCAAAGTGAAGACTGAAGAGTCTTGGTACTTGCCCATATTGAAATTACCAGAAGCTTAATGACTTTTATTTTAGGGACAACCCTACTATTGATACCCTTTATTTGATTCTCTTTATGCAAGTTCAAATTGTATATGATTTCATGTATTCGTATATAAATAGAACGTGCATGATTTATAATTTAGTATAGAGCATCTCTTTCAACAAGGCAAAAAAAGTGATTTCATTGTCGTCAAATTTCTCAAATTGCCCTTTGCACGTGACAAACCTCGAAATAATAGTTCACATTTACCTCGTGCATGTAAATTCGAAATTTGATAAAAAAAAAATCGAGATTTTTAATGAGTTTCAAGTCTCGAATTTTTGCTTCGAGATTACAAACTCCTAATTTATGAGACCCAATGGGGTTTTGAGATTTCACCGAAAAATTCATGCGGCCAGACTATGAATTTCTTGGACCAAAATTTACCCAACTTTCTCAAATTTTTATCACCTTTGCACTTTTATCTCTTCGTAGCGAATGAGAAAACGTGAAGATATCAATAAGCGTGTTTATATCTTTTCGTTTGCTATGAATAAGTGATGTGCCAAAATATCAAAAATATATTGATTAGGGAAGGAGGGAGGGACAACCAATTTCGAGAGAACCAAATTATGTGCACGGTAAACGTATTCCTCATGGGGGCTATAATTAGCATCATCTAAAATGTTAAACGGTTAGAGGGGGACTACAATTATTTTATTTGCACGTCTTTCCTTACATGCAAATCAACTTTACTTGATGTATGCACAAATTTCATCGATGATTGATGAATATGATTAAATCTGAAATTTGATTTCAACACTTTTGCATGTCACGTTACTAAGTTGAACGAAATAATAAATTTATTTATTTTAACTTTATTATCAACAAAATCGAATAAAATAATTCGACTCCCACCATTCTTCCATATCCATGTATCATAACAACATTAGACGTGTATTTCATGAAACTTCTTCTTAAAAAAGACAGAAATATAAATTCAGATCTTAGTCGGCCACATATAAGAAAAAGTCAAATTACCGAAAAGTTAGGGTTTACTAAGAGCACATTAGACAATGACTGGGAACAACACATTTAATTTCATTAAATCAAGCCTCTAGAAGAGGTTGTAAACTTAGGAATCGTTCAGAACCTTGAAGCATTAAAAGTCAATGAATGTAATAAATTCAAAAAGGTGAATTATAAATTTTGTCAAACAAATCAACTCGTGGTCCAAAAATAGTATCCCTCTTTGGAAATTCTAAAGAAGGGATTAAGACAATGTAGTTGATTAAGACATGAATAATTTAGGCCATGGTATGAAAACCTTATGATATTAGAAAATTGAAGAGGGCTAGCTAGGAAGGAATGCCCGATCATATGTTAAAACGTTAGCTAAATACAAGGAACAAAAACCTACATATGCAAGCTGGAAAGATAGAAGAATAGTAGAGGTCTACGATGAATATTTGAAAACCTTATATATCACACTTGGTTCTAGTTGCGTGCCAGGCCAATAAAATTAGACTCGTATCCTATCCCATAAGGAAGAAAACAACATCAATTTTCGACTAGGGACCATTTTTTGATAGTGAGAAATATTTCAGAATGTTTGCCATTTTATTGTGGACCTTTTATCTACATAAGATGAGGATGACAATTACTAGCGAGCATTTCGCTTAAATCAAAGTATAGTTGGTATTCAATATATTTTCTTTCGTCGTTCATTCCACTAATTTTAGGTAGATTTAATTTTTAATTTTTTTTTTTTAAACTTTCATTGTCTATTGTAATAAATCTGATAATACGAATAACTAGTACTAATAAGATAAAAATAAATGAAAATAAATATGTTATTTCGTTAGCCAGGTATTCCAACTTTCATAATAACGTCATCTTGACGTCACATATTAATTTAATGCAAACGGATATTGATAAAAAAATAAATAAAATGAAAAGAGGAATTAAAATTCTCTACAACGCTTAGCTGATACAGTTGGGCAGTGACGTGTTGCAATCAGGAAATTTGGACCCACGGCTTATCACAAACACAAAGTCGGCTTGTCGGCGACGACGGTATGACCAAGTCTATAATACAGCCAAAAGACAGCTTTTTGGGATACAATTAATAATTTGCCTCAATTTCTACAGTTAATTACATATTTGCCCCTTTATGCGGTTTACATGTTCGGTATTATTATTTAGAGAAAATATTTTTTCTAATGTAGGAAGTTGACTTTGAAAAGTTAGGTTTCGGTATCACATGGGGATTAGAAAAAGGTCTTTTCGGTCCTTGGAAAATTAATGGGTCCGTCAACTTTATGTGATGCTTGACTTTCTCATTTGATTTTCATCTAAATTTCTTCTATTGTTAGGGTGTGTTTGGTTAGACTTAGCACTGCTTCTTAATCTCTTATTTGAATAGTAAGTTGATCCTTAATCTGTAATTATAATTATTATCCAACTGTAATGAAAGATTGATGACCAACTTCCCGTTACATCAATATATTGAAATCAATCGTGCAACTTTTTCTTTTAAGAGTTGAATATCGTATCATTCAGTCACTAAACAAGCCCTATATGTATCTATATTGTGAGAGAGCTTCATCCATTCTTCTTACATTCTTATGTACTAGGTATTTCCCTAAACACGATATAACATAGAGTACTTATCTAACTCTAATATAATACGTACATCAATATATTTGGGATTCATAGTGTACTTTTACATGTGTTTTTATAATGTCTTGATTATCATCGTGTACTTATCTAATGAATGAAAAGATCACCCATAAAACTAAAGTAGGGCACATATTAGCAACCATAGAGGGAGGTACCAAAAATTTAGGTAAGAGTTGTATCAACTTGAAATAATACTAATTGTCATTTTAATTAAAATCTTATTCTCTGGACCATATAAAATTATAAAAGCAACCTAGCTCAGCACGGTCGATGCTCCTGCTCGCCTTGCATCTTGCACACAAGCTCGAATAAAGCCTATTTCATCTATAATTTCAAAAAAAGCTCAAAACTATAAACCATATTTCCACTCTTTTTTCTATATTAAATTCTTTCATTTTACTTATTACCGTGTACCAAACACACCTTATGCAACCAAATAAGTCATAATTATCCAACTTTGGAGAGAAAAGTGGGCAAAGGAGTGGACGCAAATATCGTGGAATTAAAGAAAAAGTCTTCACCACAACTTGGCACGTGGCATAAATAATTCATTCATTTTTAACTGGAATAAGCCAACTCCTTGCACGCACTAACAATAAATCCATAAAGTTACTTTTTTCCCCGATTTATGGACCTCACACAAAAAAAGTCAAATTCAAATGGGAACTCCACGAATTTTTGAAACAAAATCACCTACCCAAAAGTAACTTTTCATCTTTCTTCCTCTATATCGCTTTTTGATTTTGATGAAAATACCAATACAAGTTAAACTATACGAATCTTTTTGTTCAACTGAACCAAAATATAAACAAGTATATCATAAACTGTTCTAGACAAATTTTTGTACCGACACTTCATATGAATGTATCAGTCAACTTAAGACACCGCCCCTTTATAATGTCATCTACACCAATTCATCATTTATCATTCCTTCAATTGGAAGAAAATGTAGAACAAGAAAGAATTATAAACTTGAGAGATTGTAATTAAATATCGCAACTATTGACGTATAGTTAGTTTATATTTATTTTAGATATTGGGATTATATAATCCCTTATTTGAGAAAAGAAGTTCACGTATCAAGATACATGAACCTTGTATATCAACCCAGCGTTGCATATAGTATATATCGTATAATATGTAGCACTAATGTGAGTAATTGAATTTTGAACCATCTTCTTTATAGTTCATTCAAGAAAACACTATTTCTCTCAAAATCTTTGAAATGTATATTTAATTGGCAACAACAAATTTATTTATAAAAAGATTTAGGGCCGTTTGGCATAACTTTTGCTTTCTGTAGAAGAGTTTTTGAAGAGAGCTATCTTAATTTTTGTTTGAAATCTAATTTTTAAAAGTACTTCCTATTTCAAAAGTTCTTTTAGAAGAAGTCGCAATGGCTCAACTTCCTTTAAAAGCTCTTTTATCTATCATAAGCACTTTCATAAAATTAGTTAAATGGATTCAAAAGCAATTTTTGAGTCTCAAAAGCTTCTTTTTAACTTTTTAAAAGTCATACCAACCAGCCCTACTACTACGATGTAAATAGGATAAACATGAATTTATATGAATATAATCTTTAATACTTCTAAACCTATCCAATTAAATAATGGAGAGCGAGAATACATGTTTAGGTCGAATAAGATAAGATAACGTATTATTATTGTCAATTCAATTCACCGTAATCCCGATGTATCAAACACGCCCAAAAGTTGTTGAATCGTTTAAAATTCAAATGAGGTGATGAATGCATTAATTATTTGTCAAGAATTCACATGTAATTGAATGTGATTTCAGCTGTGTTAGAAATTGGTTAGTAGAAATTGATTTTAATGAACTTCGACGAATTATTTAAATAGGTTATGTTAGTTGATTACATAAGTTCAAAGAGGAACGTGTTTTACTCTACGATTACATACTCATACTATATTTAGATAAAAAAAAAAAAAAAAATCTTTACTCTGCAGCTATAAATACACCTGTAAACCCCAAAAAATCTATTGACCTAACAGATAAGAATCAACAAATTTCCTTTAAGAAAAGAGTCTGCCCTGTTCTTCACACAAATATTCAATCCTTCTTTCATATTTCTTCTTAATTGTTGCCGATATTGATCCCTTTTTTCTGGATCATATTTGCTGCTAGGTTTAGCTTTTGAAATCCTTAAAATCTGTGAGGAAAAGGGATAGTTTTTTAGAGTACCCTGTTTTCCTCTGTTTAATTACAGCAAAAATGGCCCAAATTCAAGAAAACAACACCCCATTTGTTTCTGTTAATGATTCCAACGTTGGATTCGTAGTATCCCAACTCATTTTAAATGGTTCCAACACCTTGGATTCAGTTTTCTCCCATTGCCAACAATCAAATTCAAATCCTGTTTTTGATCAGCCATTAGGCTCTTCAGTTTATCTCCAACAAAAAGATTTGATCCAAAAATTCCATTACGAAAACCATCCAAACCCTTTAATTCCAAGAACCTGCCCAGTCCCCGAGACATCAGATAAAATTGGAGCAATACAGAGAAGATTAAACAATCCGGTTTACTCGCAAATTTATTTTAGTCCTAGCAAGAAAAAGTTGTACAGAGGAGTGAGGCAGCGGCACTGGGGCAAATGGGTGGCTGAAATAAGGCTGACACAGAACAGAATGAGAGTCTGGCTAGGAACTTACGACACGGCCGAGACGGCCGCCTATGCTTACGACAGGGCGGCATATAAACTTCGTGGCGAATACGCACGGCTGAATTTTCCAAATTTAAAGGATCTAAGTAAACTGGGATTTACAGATTATGCAAAACTGAACGCTGTGAAGAACTCTGTTGATGCCAAGATTCAAGCCATTTATCAGAAGATGAAAAGAGAGAAAATCAAAAAGGGTGCAAAGAAAATTGAGTCTCAAGGCAATGAGAATAATGAAGTAAAAGTTGGTGAAAATGACAAAGTGTTCATAATTGAATCATCTCCATCCAGTTTGATAAATAACGAGAGTTTTATTTCCTCAAGTGTTTCTGAAGATGGATTCTGGAAAGGGGAGAATTCGCTGTGCTCGGCGTCGTATGACTCCTCGAAGGTGGCATCAGCGCCAGCGTTATCGGAGCTTGAAGACTGCTCCCTTGCTCGTATGCCTTCCTTTGATCCTGAGTTGATATGGGAAGTTCTTGCTAATTAATTGAAAAGTACTGGACTCGACCTATTTGTGTTTTCAGCTGATTAGAAGCTATAAAGAGTTCCATGTTCCAAATGTCTATTTTCAGAAATGAATACTGTTCATTAGAGATTTAGAAATAAATGTCCCAAGTTTTTGTAATTCCAAATAAGGATATTTTTTATGTAGTTTATATATCGCATGTTTTTTACCATGTTTAATAGAGCATTGCATATTAGAAATTTAGAATTACTGTTCTTATACGCTTATTAAAGCGTAAAACGGAGCAAATTTTAGTTTGTCTTTAAAGTTATAGTGCCCCAACTCGAACGTAATATCTGAACTTCTTTAGCTAGACAATCTCGATACAGCAATAAAAATGGATATCAAGATTCTACGGGCAATAACAAACACACGTCAAACTTAATAGCTAAGCATTGGATAATAATCGAAGCTTGACAATGTGCCGGATGTCGAGGAAAGAAATTCGTAAAAGCAATTATTATTATTAAAGGTAGATTATCATATATTGCAACAATTTAGCTATTTGAGCAGAATTTTTTGTCCACCAACTTGACAGATAAAGTATTGGCAGTGCAAATTTGACATTTTTTAAACAATTCATTGACAAAATATCTCATGACATTCTATCAAAAAAGTAGACAAATAATTCTACACACCCAGCGTGATTGGGAGGAAAATTCGTAAATTCTCGACTTTTTCCATACTAGACTAGATACGGGCAGCTTTTGTTAAAGACTAAACTAATATTTCTTTTTCTTCATGACATACTCAAAAAAGGGCTCCCATGGGTCATTTTTCAAAAAGAATAAGTGTCAGCATGTGATTGAACGTTCGATTGATCTCATACATAAAATTGTATAAATCGAATCAACATTTCTTCGAAAAATAAAGTGCAGTTAAACCATTCACCACAAGTCTCTCTCTCTCTCTCCCCTTATGGGCTAAAGTTAAAGTCAGGCAATCCTAGAACCAACCTATATGTGAAAGCAAATATAGCCACGTTTCCCAGCTTATATCTAGGTGACAAGTGGTGCACAAAGTACTATCAATAGAGATTGTCCTAACTCCTACCTAGTGATCTAAATCTATAGGTTTCTATGGCTACAAAGTCAGTAAAGTTGAGCATTACTTTTGTTTGGACAATAATGATAAATGTACCCTCATTTCTTGACAATAATTTTGTTTTTTGAAAATTGTAGACGAAAAGATTAATTTTATTTTTAAATTGTTCGATGGTATCTTATCATGTGACACAATGTAAAAAAAGATATAAAAAATGATGTACATATAATATGATTGTTGTTCGGATATGTCTTTATTCACCCGTATTAATATGACAACGGAAATTTATATTTATTTCGTAGGACCGCCCTACACGAACAGGGCCACAAAAGCCATGTTCAAACAATTTTACCCTACTTCATATCAATTAAAGACCTCAATTTAATTCTTATCTCCTAATTTATTTTCCAGATCCTAGCAATATGAGGGAAACTAGCAAACCCTGCAAAAATATAAATACTAATTATAACACGAGATTTGTGCTAGTACCACAAATCCATACTCGTATTTCTGATCCTAAGAATCTCACTAAAATATAATATTACATTTGAACACGCCACAACCTTCACGAATTCCCCTTCCGAAAGGAAAACACACAACTGTCTTCCACCGACCATTGCCTTTTCTTTTGTATTTTCCTTAATAATTTCATAAATACAACTCCATTTGATTTTCTTCCAACCCAAATGGGGGAACTTAGAAAGGACTTACAGAAATAGACAAGTCGACTACATTTTGCTACCAGCTCAAGGAGTTCTTCGTCTGCTGAGTTTTGGCAGCATAAAAACTTTCGATCTCCTCCTGCAGAGGAACAAGGTGGCATAATGCCCAATTATATCACTTATCTTGGTCAAGTGAAAAAGCTACAATTATTCAATCCAACTCGAGCCTTCCAGTGGATTGCATGGGGTCAGTCTTTTTCTAGCAGTCAATTGAGCCATATAGCTATAGAGTAGCATGTTAAAGACGCAACTTAAATAAACAATTTTGTTTCTTATATAATAGCTTAAGTTGTTACATGAGACAAGTTTAACATAGTAGGAGGTCTAACCACATCCAACCCGTATAGGAGGATGTTGGTGGAGAGTCATGGCACAACCCTTACTCTATTTCCTTAGTCAGACCGAAAGAAATAGGTGTACACACTAAGAAAATTTTGAACGTGCTCATTTAAAAATACATGTACATGTACTGTGATAGTTGAAAAGAACTCTAGTGCATATAAATCAGTGACATGGTACAGCAATATGCATCCAATGTTTCAATTGGGCAAAATCTAGTTTTGAACCAAAATTGCAAATACTGTTTCAATTCCAAAATGTACCTTGCAAGATTTTAGCAGAGGCTGCAAAAATGATGACCTGAAATATCTGATCGATTTTCCAAGTGATGTATTTTCAAATTCTGCCATCGAGAATACCGAAGAAAATAAATTAGTTTGAAGAAAAGGAAGAAAGCTAATAATTACATCTCAACCAGACCTTGCAGGACAAGAAATCTATCATGTAACAAACCAATGGCATTCTTTTAAAGGCGATGGATACTCTGTAGAAAATAATATGACCTCGATGCTTAAACGAGTGCACCATGTGAAGGGAATTCTGTGCTTCGCGTAATTGCAAAAGATCCTATGCTCTTAATTATTTTACACCTTTTATTTTCTCGTTTCTAAAGTAGCAAGGATCACTTGGGAGAAAAAAGATAGAAAAGAAAAGGAGACATTATTATTATTGTCATGGTAGACGATAGATTTTTTGGATAAACATAAGGTTCGACACTGAATATTTTGAATATAACGAGACAATACAGTGCAATTTCACTCCAAAGATTGGCTAACATACCATCCTGCCCTTCTGATCTCAAACCTCCTCTGTTAAGCTCTTCGAGAAGCTGCAGTTTGAAAAATGAGTACACAAGTCACAAAAACTTGAAACCAAGATGCAAAAATTTGCACAATTGCTAAGATTGATAAAGGACTAAATTGCATCTTTATTTAAATCGTAGGATATTTTAACTCGTGATAAGAAGATAAAACTGAAACAAGTGATAAAAGATTAAATTGCTCTCATTATGTTAACCATTTCGTTTCCCATGAATTGGAAATTTTCCTGATGTTTAAATTTCCACAGTAATGATTTCAATTGACGATTATACAAAAATTCAGATGGATGAATCCAGATAACATTATATCCTATGACCAGCATTTTGAATTAATTTAAATTGATTAGAGATTCTCGCAACAGGAATGAACTTATAACACAGGAAAAAGTTTGATGAACTTCAAAGTGCTAAGTTGCAATTCATGATGAATTATTTTCATTTATTTTCCTACCTTGGAAAGAGTTGGTACAGTAGAAGGATCAAATTCTTCACAATGGTTTGGATCAATTGGGATACAAACATGACCTGCAAGAAAGAGGCGATAAGAAGTCAAACTTAAAGAGCTCCAGAGGAATGTCATATTTACTATTCTATGAACCACATAAAAAATCCACCACATTTTCAGTATGCTAGACAGTAACCTTGCAAATAAGAAATATTTAGGATACAAACCTGTTTTGGGGTGTACACAGAATGGTGCCTTCAGTAAGTGATTTATGTGTTTTGAAACCTGAGATTGCAGCCAGCAAGCTCCATGAGAGTGAGATTGATATATAGGATTTACTCATTTAGGATGTCTACATAAAATCATCATTATAATACAATATTGTTGAGCAGAGGAGCAAAACACTAACCCCCATATCAAGTCTAGGGTAGGTAAAAGAGAACACAATCTCTTCCACACACCTGCGAATACCCTGTGCCTGAAAATATAATAGGATATTTGGTTCTTTTAAAATTCAAGAACCACAGAATACAACTAAACATACATTTATAGCAGCATATGTTATTTTACATTCAAACTGTATAAACTAAAAAGATGGATGGGAAGATGGCATTTGTGATTGCAAGTACTGTGAACATACCACAAAGATCAGTGAAAGAAAAAAGTATTTATTTTCTATAAGTAACACTCTGTAAGTGGAGGCTTACCTTGTGTTTCCCAGATTGCAGCATCTGTTTAACAAGCCCCCATCGGGCTATATTAATATCATCCCGTGAACGCTTGTTATCCAGCCACTTTCCTCGGAGTTCAGAAGTAACAGCTGCATATGTTAGGTAGTAAGGAAGACGGTGGATGATTTAAATAAAATAATAATAATAATAATAATAATAATAATAATAATAATAATAATAGTAATAATAACAAGAAGAAGAAGAAGAAAAGGACAAATGAAGGGGAATTAACATACATTCTTCCGGAATCATTTCCAGTATCTTTTCGTATCTCTCCTCATCTGAAAACAACTCTTGACTATAAAGGAATTTATCCTCAAAGAAATCTTTCAGAACTTCAGTATACGATCTCCTACAAAGGTATATTGAGAATAAGTGGTGAAGGGAGCACAAGAGATAAGATGAATTATGTAAATCATAAACGTACGCTAGTAAAGGATGAAGTGGGCCCATTAGAGAAACTTTTTTTTGGCTATTCTCATTGCCCTGAACAGAAACGAGATAGTTTACAACGGATTCAGAAAATTGGAATTTTAACAACCGATTATCTTCAGAAAGAGTAAAATATAACCTTATAGACATGTAAATAATCAGCAATAGCAGCCCTTTGCTCATTATTCAACCTGGAAATTGATGAAAGTTATTCACATTTCCAGAAGTCGTAGCAAGCTAGATTAACTAAATCTCCAAAGCATGCAGCATTACCTTCTTGCTTTTCCATCACAAACCCAGCAATGGACACCACGTCGGCCACTGTATACCCATAAAATGTGGTTAAATCCAAAGTCATCTGCAGAAAAATTTGAATGAAGTGTAAGACTGGTCATAAGTGCCGAGCAGATCATTGTATTCTCGACAAAATACTAGCTAACTTCTTAAAA